TACATTCATATTGCCCTCATTGATCCCATTAGTACAGTGTTTTGATATTATAGGTAGACCACAGAGTGATCACTTACCACTTGGCTTGGACCTCGTGTGGATAGGTGGAAGTAACATAGCCGAAGAGAGTCTCAATACAGAAGGCACTATAAGGAATCAGAAACAATTAAAGTGGACATCTCCCTTGGCTGAAGCTGTAAGATCAGCGCTAAACAGTCCAACAATGCTATAGCAGAGGGTCACGTTTATTCAAAAACCGGAAAATGCAAATATCATATACGAGGATGTGGTTGGCAATCTTAAACCTCTGGTGTTTAAACCATGGCAAGGGAAAATGTTTGAAACCAGAATTTCGTGGTTTAACGACGAATGTAGACGTGAAAGAAAGGAACGGGCTAGACTAGTCAGACAAATTAAGAAGGATAAATCATTTGATAGGGTAGAGGCAGTGAGGGATAAATGCTGAAAATACCAAGCACTGATAAGGAGGAATAAACAAGATCACTATAAAAGCCAGTGGCAAGAACTGAGACTGTCATATTTACAAAATAATGATACAAAATTCTGAGGACTGATTTCCCAAGGCCAGAGAAAGACAAAAGTAATAATAGAAGCACAGATTTCATCTGAAGTTTGGATAGCTTATTTTAAAAATAAATTTGAGGATATTAGAGTATCAAGCCAACAGTTAATGGGTACAGATATATTAAAAACATTATTAAAATGTCCCCCAGTAACTGCTGCAGAAGTTAAAAGAATCACTTCACAACAGACAGCTGGCAAAGCCCCGGGAGAGGATGTATTACCACCAGAAATTTTAAAGGCATTCCCTGATCGGCGGGCTCCTGTGCTCGCCTCCTTGTTTACTTATATCAATGCCAGTGGGCGAATCCATTATTCCAAGTAATTCCAATATTTAAAAAGGGAGATTCCACAAACCCCACTAACTTTTGCCCCATAAGTCTCACTGACATAGGGTGCGAGTTATATACTAGGTATCTTTGAAACAGATCGATTGATTAGGCGGATACTAGGCAGATTATAGCAGGCTTCAGAAAGGGACATGGTCCTATAGATCAGTGTTTCATTTTACAACATCTGATTCACAAATCAGGCCCCACAAAATGCCAGGGCGGCTCTCTAACAAAGCAGTTCAAAACCACAAAAGGTGTCCGCCAGGGCTGTACACTGTCATGGCCCGGGACTCTGACTCTGAAGAAGCTGCTCCAGCTGAACCTGTGGAATGTCAGCCTCAGGAGAGACAAACCTAAGGATCACCTGAGGCTGATCAAATACAGGCACCGTCTGAACAGCTGGAGAGTTGACAATGACATAAGGCCTCCAAGCCTTTGCACCTGGCAGAGAGCTGAGCAAAAATGTTCACTGAGACTGTATTGTCGAAGGCTTTCACGGCCGGCATACGATGGCTGGCGTGGGTCTTCCGGGCTGTGTGGCCGTGGTCTTGAAGTCTTGTTTCCTAACGTTTCGCCAGCACCTGTGACCGGCATCTTCAGAGTGCTTCAGAACTGCTCCTGTCTGTGCTCCTGCCCTCTG